TCTTCTCCGCCCTGGTGAGGCGGGAGGGAGTGTCAGACTTTTACTGACTAAAGACCACCCCGTTCCTTCTCCTGCACTTCAAGCCGGAGCCTCGGTAACCATTTACGTTCTCCACAGCATGACGTGACAGAATTTCCTATAGGGTAGAGGAAACATTTAAAAAAATGGTACATATTTTTATCACCCTGGCAGTTGCCCTTTGCATCAAAACAAACCTATTATACATTATAATATCATTCGTTTTCTTCCTACGGATATGAGTACCAGTCTATAAAACAGTCGCAAGAGATCAGAGATCAGTTGTGTTCAGTCCGTAATTTACTCTAATTGATTCACAGTTACTGTATGCAAATACTTATATAAATAAGACTGCACGGTTGGTTCGTAGGCTGGGCAACCGGCTGCCGAGCAACGTGTCGCGGGTTCGATTCTCGCACGGAACAACACTTTGTGTGATCCACAAATTGTTGTTTCGGGTCTGGGTGTCATGTGTATGTGAACTTGTATGTTTGTAAACGCACCCACGACACAGGAGATAATCCTAGTGTGGGGCAACGTTTTTTAAAGAAAAAAAAAATCTAAGACATAATATTATAATTATTAATAGGTTAGGTACTAGGGATATTATACTTGGTAGATTTTTGTATGTTGAGTATATAAGCTGCCGTTTTTGCCGTTAAGTTAGGTACTGATGAGAATTGGACATTTTGAAAGAATCGTTCTTCTCCATAGGAATCTACATTTTGTAACGACCAAATTGGATCACTAGAATTGACTGATACTTTAATGTTTAATTATTTGACTTAGAAGAAATCCTTATATTACTTTATAAGTCACTTTGAAAAAGCTCAAATATTCTAAGTCAAAACGCTGACACATTCTGCACCGCCAAACTGAACTTGGTTATTTAAATTTTTAAGCTCAACATTTAACTATAAAGTTACTAGCGACCCGCCCCGGCTTCGCACGGGTTAAATATGCATTTGTTATACATATAAACCTGCCTTAAGAATCACTCTATCTATTAAAAAAACCGCTGCGTAGTTTTAAAGATCTAAGCATACATAGGGACAAACAGACGCCGGATAGCGACTTTGTTTTATACTATGTAGTGATTACCTATAAGTTACGATACAAATAAAATTAGTTAATTAAACAATTTATCGTAGTAATACGATCTGAATAACGAGTGTGTTACTAAAATATTAACTTTCTATTGGCGCCCTAACGTGGGACCATAATCAAGACCGATTTTTTTTTTTCACAAAAGGATTTTCCATTCAGCCAAAGAAACTCTAAATATCTACCCACGGCATATGAGTAACAACTACAACTAATTATGAACGCAGCGTTGTAATTAAATCATAAAATTTTAATTGCCTACATTAGATATGAGTTATAAAACATATTAATTGTATATCTCTGACGCCATATATATGTATGTACTAGTCTACTATATGTATATGTATATTACTAATAATAAATATGATTAATAGTAAAACAGATTGAGAATAATGTGTGTGTAATAATATAGTTTCTCTCTGAAGTGTTTTTGTAGGATCTTGTTTTTGCGTTTTTTATTTGTTCTGAAAGATTTTATCTAATTCAGCTACATTTCAAATTATTTAGCTATTATAATTATGAGTGCCGACTTTTTCAATTACGTATTTTAACTTTCATAAAGCACTACAGTCCTATTTTGAAACACTCATTATTTGAATTTGACTTCTAACTAAGACTTTTTTTAAGGGGGGCAAAATCATCGAATGACTGCTCCCGCTTGAGTGAGGCGGGAGGGAGTGTCAGACTCTTACAGACTAAAAACCACCCCGTTCCTTGTCCTGCACTTCGAGCCGGAGCCCCAGTAACCCGTTAGGTTCTCCGCGACTCTGACTAAGACTAGAAACAGAAATTAACACGTTCCATTATCTAATAAAAACTTCTAAATACAATTTAAATAACATGTCACTACCATTCTTTTATGTTTTATATTTTATAACCGTCGGCTAACAAAACATTCAAGACCGCAAGCTTATCTAAATGGCCCAAAACAATAACAAAATATGACAAAAAAATTTACAGAAATCGATTCTGAACACTCAACAAAGAACAGCCGTTGAAATTAACTAAACTAACGGAGAATAACGGCATTTTTAACTAAGTTAGTTCAACGGTAAACTTGGAATAAGTAAAGAAGCTTAAATGGATAATTCTACTTCAACAAGACAATAGGAATAAACAAACTTATTAAAACCTCTTTTGTCTGTCAAACAATTGCGGATCGAAAAAAAAACGCTCTATGGTCGCCCCCAATGATGTTCTGTGGTAATTCTATTTATAAATTCCATTTCTCCTTTCAAACTGCCTGTCAATTATTGGTTTTTATTCAGAAATTTATCATTAGAGAAAGGGGCAAATGTTTTTATCTTTATCTTAACTGTCTAACCTTCAAATTGAAGATCACGACTGTTGTGATAAAAAAATCAAACTGACATATTTTGACTACTGCTGATAAAATTACGATTTAAGTATGTTACTGTCTATTAATATAACAAACAATTCTTGAATTAAAAAAAAGTGTTAATGACGCAACTAAACAAAAAAAAACTCGCGTTAAACCACAAAACAAAGACATCACAGTTTTATTTTCGCGCCAAACGGATTAATGTGTAACTTTCTTTTTACAAGCAGAGACAACAATCTCAACGTACTCAGATAACGGGCTTTTTATCATAATGGCTGCGTGTTCCGATAAGCTACTACTTTTTTTTGAACATTTTAATTCTGTCAACGACGTATCGTTACACGCGACGCGATGACCCGGGCAAATCGATAAACATTTTTTGTGAAAAAAAAACCTTTTTATAGCGAGATCGTGTGGTTTTGTGTGGAAAAATAAAAGTGTGTGGTACATACACAAACATCTCATGATATCTGAGTAACAAGCTGTTATAACTTGATGATTTATTGATCACGAAAGCGCATTAGTAATGATAGGTTGCTACCCCATCGCATACATCCAATGGAACCTACAATTGAGCCTTACATCAGGCCGTATATTCAAAAACAAACGTACATTCTCCTACCCACGTCCAATCGAGTATAATGACCCTATTTATTCATAATTAGTCGAATAAATACACCAACTAATAAGATATTTGTAAGCAGGAAATGAAAATCACTTGAATGATTTAATGGATATGCTATACTTTACAGTCTTAGGCAATTTCACTCAGAAGTTATTAAGTGTGTATGTATAGATAGATACTTTAGCTTCCGTTAACGAAGTGTCTAATAGGCGTTTTATTAATTATTATTGACGCAACTGTTATTTATTTATTATTTAATTTGAAACCTGATATGATATTGACTAAAACGGCGCGGCACATATTTAAAAAAATGAATATGAATACCTTGTTCAAATTAGCAGTAATAAAAAAAACATTGGCAGAAATTCTCGACGATATCACGTAATAAAAATTAATAGAGTTACTTTTTGGCGTATCTATCTATGGTTGTGATACATCGTTTGCCGGCGGATATTGAAAGACCATTTCTTAATTTAAAAAAAATGCTCCATAAAACAAAATTGATAATTGAAAACAAAATTAACTAAGAAGAGTATCTGTGTTGATTTGTTATTGTGAAAATAGAAAAAAAAAACAATTAAATAAAACAAAAAAAGAACAAGCGCAAGTATTTGAAAAATGCCCAATGAGCCCAATAACCCTATAAAAAACAACGGCATTCGTAACAAATAACTAAAAATCATTGAAATCTACGCACAAAATTCTACATTGACATCTTCCTTTACATTTTCCTGGCCGCCGTTAAGCCAAAGGAATGTCAGGTAAGCCCTTCTTACATCAGAAGCAACAATGGCCTAACAGTAATTTTAATTGCTTATAAAGTAAAACTCTACTCTATTAATGCACTTAGCATTAGATCACACATTGGTTTAAATTAAAAAAAAAAAGAAAAACAAATTACCTATGTTTATGTTCGAAATTTGAAATTGACGCAAAAAACATCGTTCTAAGTTCGGACACGATCCGTCTCAATGCAAGTTTTTTTTTCAACTAAGAGTTATAAAGATGTTTTTTCCGACGACATGACACGGCTTTAAGCAAGAAAAAAATAATAAAAAGCTTTTTCTCATGAGATGAGGATCATAAATTACTGCATAATTGGCTAAATATTTGTGTGGGAATATGTGTTTTTTTTTTGTTACAACTTTAATAAATTTTTACCGTAAGCGTTCAATATGAGATGTTGAGGACATCAATCAAGTGATTACCTACACTTTCAACGGAGTGATTAGCATAACATTTGTAATACGTGTGTTACAACTTTATTTGTCTCAATTTTTTTTTTATAATCCTTTAAAAAAACATTACCTACTTATTTTCATAAACACAGCATTACAATTCAAAAAACTAAGTGTTTCAACCTGTGTGCTTGGTCTGATAAAAGTAGTTGTAAAAGAGAAATAAAGATGGCACTACATCACACCGAAAACAACATTGTAGTGAAAAGAAAAAAAAGCGTTTAAATTACACGGACAGAAAAATTGACACGGATCAAATTTTGATCTGCAAAAGGACGGAACGGAACCGCAATAATAGGATAAAAACAATTCACATTCACCATAAAACTAGTTAAATGCAATATTTTGTAAAGTTTTATGCAAATAAATATCCGCTAATATCTCCAGCAATGTCCAGTTAAATATTGGTCTCTTGGTTACCACAGAAGAAATTCAAAACTAACGCATATAGACGGCAGTCCATCCATCCGATAAAAAAAATATGTATACAAGGATAGCCGTTTATTGACGGTCCGTTATCCGGTGAAAAAAACGGACGTCTACAAGAGCCCTAACAGATTTTCCAAATCAGAAATATTTTTTAACTTCTACGGGACTAAATAAGGCACTTAAAATTTATCACAATTATTAATGAAATTGGATACAATGACATAAATAAAATTTTAAGACTTACCTCCAGGAAATCTGTGGGGGAATATCCTGCCGTGCCTGTTGATGAGCCAGGGATACAGGGTGTAGGACTCCCGGGGGACAGGTGGTGCAGGGTGCGGGGGCGGATGAGGTGGCAGTGGTCCTCCGAAGCCCTGCTGCTGGTGCGCCAGAGCCGCGGCAAGAGCAGCTCCTTGGAAGTGCGCCAGAAACTGGTGGTGGTGACTTTGAGCGTCCAAGTAAGGTAGCCTCTTCAACTCAGGAGAAGGAAACACCGCAGGCAACGCACTCGGCCTCAATAAAGGTCTTGGCGAAGGACTCCTCGGAGACGCAACCGGCGAAGGAGAGCCAGGACTCGCCAGCGGCGGCGAGGCCTGCTTCGGCCGCTCCGAACCACCAACTATACTGTCTATACTAAATCCTATCTTCGGCTTCGATGGCACCGCCACCACAGGGGTCGGTGCGAGAGGCATCATGCTTTTACACACAACGGGTCCGTCACAAAAAAAATAATACACCAAATCAGAAGCACATGTCACACAGAACACAATCCATCGTGACGCGAGCGCGCGATACGAACGCCAAGGCGGCGCGCGGCCGAATGAGCCCTCCGCACTCGTGAGACGCCCGTCGACACAGAAAAAAAATAACGAACATGGACTCCTCACCTCCTATTGGACGGTATTTACCGAGGGGTGGCGACTGATCTCTGAACTGAACTCTTTATTTGAATGGCTGCTGCGCGATTGGTCAGCAGGCATGTAGAGGTGTTATTTGAATTTGGAACGCTTTCCCAGTGGGCGGTTTGAGTTAAGAGCTTGTGATTTAGCCGGCCGTATGGCGTATTACATCAGATTTGTGGCGCGGAACGCGTCGAGTGGTGCTTTCGAATTTAGTTGGTTATGATTCAATTAAGGCGTCGATTGGGTGGGTAATCGCGGTCGACTTACTCGTTTTGGGCTAGTCGGCTCACGCGGCGCTCGCCCGCTCCGCTCGCCTCCGCACGGTGTAATACTTTTTAATTAAGTCCGATGCTTTATTAGCTTAATGTCGCGAGATAAACGTGGATTTTTCAACGATTCCCGCCAATAATTGATTCTTACAAAATGGCGGACGTTTATAGTCGCGTTCGGTTTAATTATTTTTATCGATAATAAAATAATTTGTTGCTGCTGCCGTACGATTGTTTTCTTATGTAGTTGAATTAAATTTTAATGAAACCCGATAAAGTTTGAATTTCACGGATATTTTCCACCATTACAAACTAAACAGTGTTTGGTAAATAGTTGATTTTTTAATTAAAATTGTTATGTTTTATAGTCTGTGGTGCGCTGTGATTGATTTTTGTTTATAAAATACAGATTGGTTACTTTATGATATTGTACCTATTCATTATGAAACATTGAAGTAGGTACATTTATTTGATTAGGACTTTTGGTTAGATTTATTTTAAACAATAGTCATTCATAATAACAAAACGTGTAGGTAGAGAAATTGTACAGCCCAGCTGCGTACCATTTTATAATGTAGGTAAGTATACGCTTATAACAGTAACTAATAGGCCTTAATTAGGTATTAATTTGAAAAAACCGCCAAAGAATAAATAACACATACTTAGATAGGTATTTACTTACATTAACCCAAGCAACATCTAGGTTTTAACGAAAAAGCACTTGAAACATGTTTACGTTTAATTTTAACCAACTGAATGTTCAGATCTTTTTGATATAGGCACCTATGTATTTATCCGATACTAAAAAAACATCCAATGGACAATCCCAGGTAGGTTGTTCATTTTATTTTTACGTCTAACAACAATCTAAAGATTTTATAGATGTCGCGGAGAACCTAACGGGTAACCGGGGCTCCGGCTCGATGTGCAGGAGAAGGAACGGGGTGGTTTTTAGTCAGTAAGGGTCTGACACTCCCTCCCGCCTCACCCAGGCGGGAGAAGACATTCGATGATTTTCCCCCCTTACAAAAAGGTGTTATAGATAAAATTGTACCTATTACTTGTCTCGAATGACGTTCTTTTACCTAAAAGAATGCTAGAAACCACCAATGGGCGCATTATTATTTTAAACCTTGACTTAGGGTAGACGACTAATTTTTATTTTAATGTCCGTCTGGTAGATTATTTAAAAACATTAGACACGTATTTTTAATTTTCTCACAGAAACGAATAGTTTCGAAGATAAGTAGGTATATTGATTTGAAATGTCGCGTGACGTCACTTCTCAGTACATTTTATACTAAGAAATGACGTTTTAACCCCCACTCCTAAACTTTGATTCGTTTTATCTAAGTATTGTTTTATTATACGACAAAATAAAAAAATACGTGTCTAATATTTTTTCATTACCTAACTTACGGACTAATTATATTTTTAATTTTCATACCCTGTCATCATCCCCATTTTGTCTTCGCAACTTTAACATATCCAATTAAAAAAAACTAAATAATAAAAGAAAAAATAAAAAAAATGGCCACTTAGTCGCGACCACTGTACAGGGAGCAATTTTCCGGCTAAATTTCACCAACACGACTTTTCTTTTGCGTTCTGAACTAATATACTTATAAATTAACATTTTTTTATAAATTACCTTGAGTAGTAAACATTTTGTAGGCAGATGAGGAATCCTGACTCGGGAAAAAATGTTTTACAAATATGATAACAGCCAAACTGTTACGATCTTTTGTATCTGCCCGTAGTTTTCAATTTGTAATAATTATCTTATTGAAAATTGTACCTTTTAATATAGGTAAATAGGTAGATTATTTAACATAACGATTTTATCGCATTATTGAACAGAAATATTTGTAAGAAAACTGGAAACATTCACAATATTTTAAGATTTTGATCTTTTATGACCACTAAATGGCAAAATACACGAGGCAAAAAAGCCACTGTGTAGTGAATGAGGAAGGATATTGTTTCCCTAACTTTCGTTACCAGGGTCGGCAGCAATTCAAAGTCAAAGTCAAAGCATTTATTTCAATTAAACCATAGTTTGGTGCTTTTGAAACGTCAACAAATACAAAATAAATAATAGTCTGTCAGTCAGTCCGTCAGTGAAACTAGGTGAAGCTAGGTGCTCATTCCAAAAAGTAGATTCGAATGGAGAAGAACGAGCAAGAAACTCCATTCGTTACTCTTTTTAAAAAAAAGTATGTAATGTCTAACCTATGACCTGGATCATCTACAATCATCCGTTGGACATAATCGGCGATAGACAAGGACGCAATCAGACTTGCATGGGATCCACTTGGGTAGTATTGTACCCTTCACTCTTTGGGTTGTTTTTTCAATTCTTTTTATTTCTAATCTATAAAGTTTTGTAGGTATCTCAAAATAAGAGGTGTAAATATTCACCTAAAATCCTAAGTAGGTATCAACTTACTTTTGCTTTACCTATTCACGGACATATGAGAGAATGCTCAGCTGAGAGTTTGTCTGTGTTACCTAAATTGTTGACAGTGTAATTATATTAATAGTTACATTAATAAAGTAGGTAGTAAGTTAATTTAATTTGTTTTAAGTTCTAATATCACAATAAAAACCCACTTTGTACTATTATTTTCCTGACACGCAGGTCCCAGCCAACAAACATCTAACAACTCACACTCCATTTAAATACGGCCCTGGCGTAGATAACTACAATCATCCCTATTACACCACTCACTTTCTATAATTGAAAATTTCCTGCTAAATTTTCTTTTCTCATATTTCTTTCGAAAAATTATATGAAGGCAAATTACATAATTATAGTTAGTAGCTACACATTTAACATCTATTACGAGTTCAAAGTTTAACTCAATAGTGCTTTGTTGACGTCAAATGCGACGGGTGAACTAGTAATCTCAATTTTAGGAATTTCCGTTGTTAGGCATACATTTTGGAGTTATTTTTCCATTGGGTCACACAAATAGCCCCCTTCTTTTTTCTTTTTTTGAGGAAGAATTATCATGCAATGACTTCTCGCACCTTGAGTGAGGCGAAAGAAAGTGTCAGACTCTTATTGACTAAAAACCACCCTGTTCCTACTCCTGCTTCTGCCGACGCCCCAGTTAGGTTGTCCGTATTTCCAACACAAATCTAGGGACCCTACGATGGGATTAATATCATAACTAGAGAAAAGTAGATGTTCTTTAGTTATTTGTGTCAGGTAACCCTTCAGAAAACTTATCATGAATAGGTTCAAGTTAATTTTTACCTGTTACTCACCTTACCTTACCTCACGATTCACAACCTTACAGGCCCTACTCCATAAGATAATCAAATCCCACAACAAACATTCCCATAACCTCAAAACAAATAATGGCGCGTAATTGTAGAACATTAGCGGCCATCTTGATTTCAGTTGCCGACATCAAGATAAAATCGATACGTTCATAACACCTCCAATTGTAAGTACAGCGTAGCGTTCAGTTATTCAAATGTGGTCACGACTCTGGCCGCTCCCTTGTGCCAAGGCGTGATAATACGATGATAGTATTACAGCTTCGATGTAATTGTGTTTAGATTGCCTTGTTGGCCTAGTAGTTTAAAATTGTAACTGCTGTACGAGGAGTTTTAAGTTTGCCAGTTGGGTTATTCGGTCTATGGTCACACCGTTGTGACCAACCACCCCTAAACCATGTCTTAACTAGGAATTACTAAGCGCATCTAAACTAACCTTGATGTAAGTGTCGCTTATAGGTTGGTCAAAACCAAATTGTTGTTAAGTGAACTAATCTTTGTTTGGGGGTTCCTTAAAATTTAAGAGAGATGCGTGAAAAAGGCCATTAATATCCTAAACTAATTTAAAATTTGTTACAAAGATATAAAGTCCAAAATTCTGTTACAAGAATAGAACTAGTAACTGTAATAGATGATTATGGTTCCTCGCTTTGCCCAAGTCCGGTCACGGTCTTGACCAGATTCATATGAATGTCAGCACTTATTACATTTTACATGGAGCGATTGTCATCTGCCCTTTACAACCCGCTAAGGGTAGGTAAGTACCTAATGCCAAATTTTTGGTTAAACTCGTTGTCAAATTGTAGACAGGTCTGACAAACTTAAACGATTGTTGTCATATACATAATATTATGTTTGTACGACAATCGGCACTGTCCCAGACAGGTGTATCTAACACTATCGAATTTAAAACATTTACTTTGAAAAAAAAAATTAAATAGCTTCGGCTATGACTTTTCCAAAGTTAGAGATCAAACCTAAGATCACATGTTTGACAATCGCTATGCTAAATTCGTGTAAAATTCAAATGCAGCTAAATAAAACCATTTTTTTTTATCGGATAAAGGGATAAAGTAAAAGATTTTATTGTAAAAATATTATTGAATTTTATTGAAGAACATAAAACAAACAATATGTTCGGCACAATCATGTTTAAAATTAGTTTCAATCTACATATTGGCTCGATACAATAAAGAGATTATAGAACCTACCAATTGCGATAGGTGGCCAGCCATAGGAACGAATCTAACTTAAGCCTGCGCGTCGCATTCCGTGCGCGCCTCAAAGAGCTATCAGACCACCACGGATGGGGCCCAATAGGGCTGATGCCGATACGGAGCCGCGGAGAACCTAACGGGTTA